CCCAACATGGTTGGCCAACGTCGTCCTCGCACAAAAACCGCCGACGTTCAGAATGTGTGTTGACTACACTGACCTGAACAAGGCGTGCCCCATGGACCCGTTCCCTCTCCCCAACATTGATCAGTTGGTGGACGAGACGGCGGGGTGCGAGTTGATGTCGTTCCTCGACACTTTCAGAGGGTACCACCAGATCTCCATGCACGAAGATGACGCCGAGAAGACGGCATTCATGACCCCAGAGGGAATATTTTGCTACCTCGTCATGGCCTTCGGACTCAAAAACTCCGGCGCCACCTATACTAGGATGGTGGCCAAAATCTTCAGAGCGGTCCTTGGCCGGACGATGGAGGCATACGTCGACGACATGATCGTCAAGAGCAGGCAGGCCACCTCCCACGCCGACGACCTCCGGGAAATCTTCGAAATCATGAAGGAATTCAGGCTCCGCCTTAACCCCAAGAAGTGCGCCTTCGGCGTCCAAGGCGGCAAGTTCCTTGGCTACATGGTCAGCCGGAGAGGCATCGAGATAAACCCGGAGAAGACGCAGGCCATCATCAACATGGAGCCGCCCCGCAACGTCAAGGAGGTACAGCGACTGACGGGGCGCCTGGCGGCCTTAAACCGGTTCCTCTCCAGGTCAGCTGAGAGGGCACTCCCCTTCTTCCAGATCATGCGCAAGGCAACCAGCTTCAGGTGGACGACGGAGTGCCAGGAAGCATTCGACGAATTGAAAAGGTACCTATCGTCTCCACCCATACTCTCCAAGCCCAAAGCCGGCGAAACCCTCTTCCTGTACTTGGGGGTGAGCACGTCGGCCATCAGCTCCGTGCTCATCCGTGAGGACGAAGGGGTGCAGAAGGCCATCTTCTACATCAGCAAGACACTTAGGGAGGCCGAGCTCAGGTACTCCCCCATTGAGAAGACGGTGCTGGCCATCGTCCACACCGTGAAGAAGCTGGGGCACTATTTCCAAGCCCACACCGTCCATGTGCTGACCCAACAGCCTCTCGGCGCGCTCATGAGGAGCCCCACTAGCTCCTCGAGGATGGTGAAATGGGCGATCTTCCTCAGCCAGTTTCCAATTGAGATCAAGCCACGGCCATCTATCAAAGGGCAAGCCTTGGCCGACTTCGTCATCGAATGCACAGCAAGGGAGACGGCCGTCGCCAACCCCGGGCCGGAGCCAGACGACACGTGGACCCTGTTCACTGACGGCTCGTCGGCCGCGAAATCATGCGGCGGCGGCGGCGTCCTCATATCCCCTGAAGGATTCAGAGCCTACTATACCATCCGCTTCAACTTCAGGGTATCTAACAACGAAGCCGAGTATGAGGCCCTCCTCAGCGGTCTCAGACTCGCCGCCGGCCTCAAGGCCAAGCACCTCAGAATCAAGTGCGATTCCAAACTGGTAGTGGGCCAGGTGGAGGGATCGTACGAAGCAAAGGAAGGCCGGATGAAGCAGTACAAACAAGCGACGGAGGAATTGCTGAAAGCGTTTGAAACCCATGAGATCACTCAGATCCCAAGGGCCGAGAACGCCGAAGCCGACATCCTCTCCAAGCTCAGCTCGGACACCCCGGAGCACATCTCCCAGTTGGCCAAGATCGAGGAGTTGAGCATGTCCAGTATCCATGCCAGCCCCGTCTTGTGCGTCCACCAGCGACCAGAGGACTGGATCTCCGACATCACCACCTTCATCACAACGGGGGAGTTGCCCCCGGACGAGGAGAGGGCCAAACTCGCCAAACTCAGGGCCCCAAGCTACACCATCAAAGATGGCAAACTCTACAAACGGTCCTACAATGGCACTCTCCTCCGATGCCTGCACCAGGACGAGGCCGATACTGCCATGGAAGAAGTTCATTGTGGCGTCTGCTCCTCGCACCAGGGTCCTTTCAGCATGTCCCGGCGTCTCGTCGTCCAGGGCTTCTTCTGGCCGACGATGGCACGAGACTGCGCTGACCTGGCCAGGAAGTGCACCACATGCCAGGTACTCCAGAAAGCTCCTGGTCGGCCAGCTGTCAACTATGCCCCTGTCAGCACCGCAATTCCATTCTCCAGATGGGGGATTGACCTGGTCGGCCCCCTGCCCAGAGCGGCCGGGAATAACCGCTACATCATCGTCGCCGTCGACTACTTCACCAAGTGGGTCGAGGCGGAACCCTTGGCCAGCATCACGGGGGCCAGATGCCAAAGGTTTGTTTACAAGAACATCATTACACGCTTTGGCGTCCCCCAGGAGATTATATCAGACAACGGCACCCAATTCGAGGCAGCCCCTTTTCAGGAGCTCCTCCGGGAGTTTGGGGTGAGGTACCGTTTCTCCTCCGTTGCCTATCCTCAGGGCAACGGGCAGGTCGAGAACGCCAACAGAACAATAATGGAGGGGCTGAAGAAGAACCTCCAGGCCGCAGGAGGTAGTTGGGTCGACGAGCTCCCCAACATCCTGTGGTGCTACAGAACCACGCCGAGGAGGGCGACAGGCGAAACACCTTTCGCCCTGTGCTACGGCTTTGAGGCGAAGGCGCCCACGGAGGTAGCCATCCCCAGCCGGTGAGTGGAGCAATATGAGCCTGACACCAACGAAGAGAACATGAAGATTGACCTACACCTGGTTGATGAGAGGCGTGAGCAAGCTTACGTCCGAGCAGAGAACTACCGGCGTCAAGTGAAATCATACTATGACGCCAAGGTACGTTCCCGGGAATTTCAGGTGGGGGACTACGTCCTCCGCCGAAGGGAAGCAAGCCAGCCAACAGAGGGCGGCAAGCTAGCATTGAAGTACGAAGGGCCCTACATCGTCAGTGCCGTGGTCAAACCCGGCACCTACAAGCTTAGACGCCCGAATGGGTCCAATGTACCACGAACATGGAATGTACATCATCTGGTGAAGTTTTATCAGTAATCCGAAGGAGGTGTAGACGGCGAAGCCCTCACCCCTTAACGGGTTACTGATTGAACGCCACCCTCGGCCTCGAGCCACTTATGAATAAAATCATGTTCTGATTTTTTCTCTGGAATTTAAAGTAAAACATTGGCAGGTGCCCTCGTCGGCCACCTTAGAGCAGAAGGCTCAGGTCTGGCCGACATGGCCCCTTGCATTTGCAGCCTACGAGCGACAAGCTCAGGCACTCCATTGTATTTTGCATCAGCGAAGGGCTCATGCCTAGCTGAGAGAGCACATCGTCCTGGCCCCGTAAGCCTAGAAGTGAAACGCTCAGGTATGGCCGACGATGTCCCCAGGACGAGGGGCCCGCAAACGGCCCACGTCTTGAAACGGGAAGCTCACCGCGTCGTCCACGCGCCAGATCGCAGGACGACAGGCCTGAAATCATGGCCGAGGTGACAAAATCCCAAAACTCAGGGATGGGCAACGACAGCCGTTGGAAACCGACCAAAAGTCTAGCCCGCGTCATAAATAGGCGACGGGACCCGCCCTGAGACCACGGACGTTATAAACGAAGTCCGAACCGGCCGAAGGATGAGCACACCCTTCGGCCGAAGCCTGAAAGAAGGATACCCCCCGAAACAAAAAAAAATAATAATAAAATAAAATAAAATAAAATACAAGGGAAAAAGAGGGAAGCCGACGGCCGCGCACACTTGCCGGCCTCGAGCAATGAAAAAATAAAATCCCCAAAATTCAGGCCCATTTCGGCCAAGTACATATCAGTTGAACACAAGTTTAGTACCACTGACAGGCAGCATGGACGACACGTCCACGCACCACGAGGGAACAATCAAGGCCGATACACACGCCTATGAAACCCTAACCACATCGGTTGGGTGACACGCGAGAGGTGACCTTCATCGGCCATAGTCCTTTGAGGCACCAACGCTTGGTATGAAACAAAGCATCGCAAAAACGAAGCGGGCACTTGTCACAACCGCGAAAGGATCAAGTAATCAAGATGCAACCTCTACTTGCCAACACACCTCGGATAGCCGACACAGGCACCGGAACCATGACTAGCCGACGAAGGCAGGACCATCTCCTTGGACAAGCTACTCCTTACCCAGCACCCTCATCGGCCACAAGCCAGACCTTGGCCGACAAGGGCACCGCAAAGACGTAAATACCTGACATTTATACTCAGGAAATTATCTAAGTACTCAAATGAAGGAATTCTAGCCGAAGCGGGTACCAGTATACTACAAAGCCGTTAACCACCTACACCTCTACATGTGTACTTGTGAAAAATTCAGTCCACAAGACTATGGTGAAGGTGCCCTTATCGGCCAGAACACAGGGTTACAAGCCGACAACGGCCCTAGCTAAAACACCTGGGATGAATCCAAGGCCAGGACGATAAGGACGCCAACGCCTGGACGGAACGGACACTGCGGTCAGGGCTAAAAAGGGAAGCACTTAAAAGGAATCAAAAACACTTAGGAAATTTTGTGAAAAAATTCTAAGTGTTATGATGGCAAAGGAACACCGGTCAAGCCGACCAGGCCACCAGGCCGAAAGGGAAGCACCTAAGTGGATCCCAAAACACTTAGAAAAATTTTGAAAAATTCCTAAGTGTTATGAAACTACGTCCAAGCCGATCAGGCCGCTTGGCCGTAAAGACAGGAGCTACATGGACCCAAAAAACACTTGGGGAATTTTTGAAGCAAAATCCTAAGTGTTATGACAGTAAAGCAAGGAGGCATAGGCCGACCAGATTACTGGACGGGAAGGCCAACCTCATGGATGTAGCGGACACTCGCGGGTGACCCAAGTTATGACTTGTTACTTAGACAATTTACAGAATTAAAATGACAAAGCAAACAAACATACAAGGGATTCAAGGCCGAAAAGGACAGCAAAAATTTCTTCAATTGATAAATTTCATTACAATTGGGGGGCACTACGGCCATTACATAATTGGGCAACAAATGAAAAGCTAACTACAATGGGGACTAGCCGATCAAGCCTCCGCGGCTGGCACTTCAACCTCGTCGGCTCCTCATCGGCCTCAGCTTCCTGGCCGGCAGCGGCGCTGGTGGCATCATCCAAGAAATCGAACTCAGTATAGTCCGGCTCGCCGAGGCCGGAGCTTTCTATGGGGGACTCTCGCTCCGACGGCGGAAGCGTGGCCTGCCCTTCGGGATCCTTCATCAGCTTTGGGAGCTTCAGGTTCCGTCTAGCCCATCCAGCCGTGTAATTCATGGCCTTCAACGCCCGGGATAGCCGCCGGTACAGGAGCCTTTGCATCCGCTCCTGGCCCAGGTTGTAGTAAACAGACATCTCCTGGCTGAAATACTCCCGGCCGGCAGGGGAGTTCATCCCCCAATTCTCCAGCCTGGCGGCCACCACCTCGTAGCACCAGGGGAGCCTCTCATCGGCCTTCCACCCTTCGGCCAAGAACTTCTCAACAGCCTCATCAGCAGCCCTCACGACGGCGGCCTCGGCCTCAGCTTTCGCCTTGGCGGCCTCCTCGCTCCTGCGCTTCTCGGCCTCAAGCGCTCTACGGGACTCTGCGAGCTCCCTTTTGCTCTCTTCGAGCTGGACCAGGGCAACGTCCCTGGCCGCGACGGCCTCATCAGCTTTGGCCTGCAGCGCCTTCGCATCCTCCCGAAGCCGGTCAAGGCAAGCTACCGCCTCGTCGGCCGAGGCAGCCTTCTGCTCCAGTGCTTGCAGGCGGACTATCTCCCAGTACTGCCTCTTATGGCTTTCCATAAGCATGAAGGCACTCTGCATAAGAAAAACAAAGGTCAGGCAAAAACTCTACATAGACGAAGAGAGACAAGAATATAAAGACAATCACTTACTTGGACGAGGAGATCCATGCCGCCCTCATAAATCTTCGGGTCCTCGAGCTTCTTCAGATGAGCCCGATCTTTGGCCGGCATGGCCTTGGCAAGGACGACGTGGCCGGGGACGAGCTCATTAAACACGCCCCCGCCGATGGGGTACTCTATCACTTTCTGATAGGTGTCACCGGCGATCTCCTTGCCGGCCCTCTTCGTCCGTGGTTCCTGGACGAGAGGCAGCGCTGGGGCGGCATCACCAGCAACAGTAAGGTCCACGACGGGACCACCATCGCCCACGCTGGGGACAGCAAGCGTACCGGCCTCACTGGCCGGAGAAGGGGAAGGAGCCCTCTTCGTCTTCTTAGAGACGCTCACACCGGCCTCGGTCAACTTTTGCTGGCCGTCAGTGGCCGGTCTCTTTTTCTTGGATGGGGCAGGCTTTGGGGCCGCATCTGCAGTAGCCCCGCTCACACCGGCCGCGGCACGCCTGGCCGCTTCGGCCGCCTTAGCAGCAATCTCCTCGGCCGCTTTGGCCTTCGCAATGGCCATCATGGAACGACGATCTATGACAAAGTCTACAAAGGGAAAACAAACAGATTAGCAAGGCAAAGGACAAAAACGTAAAGACAGAAAGCCGAAGGAGAATTACCATCGGCCTCAGCAGGAATGCCCAAATCCGGGCCATCGGCCTCCTTAAAGGTGGTGGTCATCCTCGGCCAGAGCTGGAGGTCATCCTCCTTATCTCCATACAAGTGATATCTGAAGAAGCCGAGGGCCGTCATCTTGTATTCAGTGACGTAATCTTTCACGCTCCTCGGCCCCCCTTCCAGGAAAGCCTCCACCTGAGCGTCCAAAATAGAGCTCTTCGGCGGGTCATGAAGATTGAACCTCCCGGTATGGCCGAGGGAGGGGAACTCGGTGCCACTCTCACCAATGGACACAAACACGAACTTGCTCTTCCACCCATGAATGGACGTAGGCAAATCCGTGAAGCTCCTCTTCCTCGGCAGCTGTTGAAGAGTAGCATAGGCCGCACAGTTCTTGTGGCTTCCTCGACCGATTTGGTACAAGTTCATGAATAAGGCCGTGGTCGACCTGTAGCCCAACTCCTCACACCGAAGCAAGAAGCCCACTATCAAGGAATAACTGTTCGGCGTCAGCAAGGCCGGAGGAAGCCCCACCATGTCCAGATACTCGGTGACGAAAGGGTGAAGGGGGAACCTCAACCCCTTAGCAAAACTCATCGGGTATACTCCGAAGTATCCCGGTGGCGGAAGTAGAGCATGGTCCGTCGGCCTGGGTGCCCTAACCCGCCCGAACGGCCCCACGTACATCTGGGCGACAAGATAGTCGGCCTCACTACTCTCCGGCTTAATCAGGAATATGTTGGTGAGGTCCAAATAGGAGAGGCACGGCCCATTCTTCGGCCTCCTCACCCTCTTCGGCTTAGCGTCGCCCTTCACGGCAGATACCGGCCTCGGGCACGGAACGACAGCAGAAGTGGACGCCCCGTCCACCGCTCGGGACGCACCTACGTCCTCACCCTCTGAAGAGGAGGCGGACTCCTCGTCCTCGATCTCCTCGTCCATCAGCTCTCCGGATTTGTAGGGGCTCAAACGCTCTATCTCCTCTTCAAACTCCTCGAGCACCTCGTAGTCAAGGGACCTCGTGGAGGGCTGGTCGTCGTAGGGGTAGTAGTCCTCGTTCAAGCTCTTCATTACTACTACTACGGGCTTAAGGAGAACTTACGATCTAAAGGTGTTTAAATGCCTAACACTAGATCAACTATTTACGGAGCAAAGTATGAAAAGTGAGGAAGATCGTGATGAACACTAACCTCAAACAATGAAGAACACGAAGAACAGGCTCGGGAGTTTCTCTCTCTAGAAAATCGGCCAGCACTTCGACAAATTCAGAATGCAAACGTGATTTTTCGTCGGAGGGGAAGGGGTATTTATAGACCCCCCCACCAACGGTCACTACACGTGGCACTCTCCCAATGGCCACATCAACGGCCACCACTGGGGGGCCACCACGTCACCAACGGGCCAGGACCAACCCATATCAACGGCCCACTGGCAAATCAGACTCTACGGCCTACACACGCTCAACGGCTTTACAACTGCCAGCAAGCGCCCACAACGTCCCATCTGCTTGCCAATATCACAAATGCCAGACAATAAGTGGACGGCAACAACCAGGAACGTAACGGCCACAGAACAAAGGGGACAAATAGCCCACAGCCTTCGGCTCGTCGTAATAACCCTTGATGATAACTCTCTACAAGCGATCTGCGCACAAGGGTTCTCCCACAGGGTTACCTTGGCCAGAAAATCGCCATGAGAGTTGGATTCAGGGGGACTACGGCGAGACCGCTTCGGCCAAGGACTCAAGCAACTCCTTCACCCCTCACACTCTTCGGCCTGAAGCAGTGGGGGACTGGGGGACTACACCGGCCTCAACAAAACAAAGGTATAAACAAGGTAACCACAAAAACATGGCCACATCATCCACACAACACAACGGAACCTCATCGGCCAAAGGCCCAAAACGTCATTAGCAACGGCCAACAAGCCACTAGAGGCAAGGACACTCATCGTCCTCCGCCAAACAACTAATCTTGACGGGCCCTTCGGCCAAGAACACGAAGGCCAACCAGCAACGGCCAAAAGGAGTGCGCGAGCACCCTCATCGGCCATCCAAAGGAAAGGACGCCATCGTCCTCAAAGCAAGGAACGACCTCACCGGCCCAAACATAAACTTCAACCATCAACGGCCAGGAAAGGGAAAGCGCGCCCTCAACGGCCACCATCGAAAGAAGGATACTCATCGCCTTCAACGGCCACCATTGAAACAACGGCCTCCCCGCCCGCAACGAGGAACAGGTAACGGCCAAAGCACAGAACAGGATCACCAAAATGGAAACAGCGCCAATACCGCAACGGCTAACGGCCTGGAAATGCCCGCGTCGGCCAAAAGCAACAAAGCGCAGAAATCTACTCTCCTTCACTTCGTCTACGTCTCAGCTTAGAGAGTGGGGGACTCCTGATGGAATATATGGGTCTGAGCCCCAGGACCCACATATTCGGAAGAACAGAAAGCACAAGACAATAGAGTGGCGCCCTCGTCGGCCAAGACGCCCACGTCGGCCGAGAAGAAGCCAACTCGGATCATGGTCCTGAGCCCGAGGAACCCGGGTGCCCTCGTCGGCCGTGCCCTCGTCGGCCGTGCCCTCGCCGGCCACGCCCTCGTCGGCCACACCCTCGTCGGCCACGCCCTCGTCGGCCACGAAGACCTCCCAGAAACGGATTCTATACTTATTCATTTGTACAGCCCATTAGAGGCTTTGTATTCGGCCCAGTAGCGGTCCAGTTGTAAATGGGCCTCCCAAGCCCAAGGCTTGGGAGCCCAACCCTAATTTTCTCTATAAATACTCCCCTTGGGAGTAGTTATAGGGGTTACAAAATCATTCTACTGAAGCATATTATTGCACTTCTCTCTCTAGCTCTCACTTCTCTCTAGAATCTAAGAGGTATACTCTATCAGTGCATTAGGTGAAATTGAAATGTGCAACACAAAGGGTACGATACAGTGGTATTATGTGAAGCTGAATTGTGCATTAGGTGAAATTGAAATGTGCGGAATAAAAGGCACGATGTGATGTTATTTTTGTACCTTTTATTCCGCACATTTCAGTTTCATCTAATGCACACTTGCGTTTAGATTTTTATTCTGCACATTTCAATATCATCTAATGCACATTTCAGTTTCACCAAATGCACAATTCAGTTCCACATAATACAATCCAACGGTCTAGATTCATTCTTATTTCTCTCCTGAGAGTCCGTTCTTACCGGAGCCGCTCCCTTAGGATTACTAATCTCAACAATTTGCCCTCCTAAGACTCATTCTCACGTCATCTTAGTCATTAGGTATCATCATAGCCAGCTTGTTGGAATATGGAACCAGGTCTCACACCATTCATCATTAACCCAATTCAGGGACCTATATTTCAAGGTACCTCAACCATCTTGAAGAATTTCCTGCAAAACAAGAACTTATCAGTTCGGACAATTTTAGTACCAAAATCAGCAGGATTATAATCTCCAATAATCTTTTCAATAGAAACATTTCCCTTTGCAATTTCATCCCTTATATAATGAAATCTAACATCTATGTGTTTAGTTTTTTCATGATACATGGGATCTTTACAAAGATAAATGGCACTCTGACTATCAGAAAAAACAACAGGGGTCACATTTTTTCCTAAAACTTCACCCAGAATACCCATAAGCCATTTGGCTTCTTTAATAGCTTCAGTGGATGCAATGTACTCAGCCTCTGTGGATGACAGGGCTACAACAGATTGCAACTGGGATTTCCAGGAAATACAATTTCCAGCCCATGTAAAGAACCAGGAAGTAGTAGACTTCCTTGAGTCTTTACACCCTGCATAGTCAGCATCTACAAAACCTTTAAGGTCTAAAGATTTGTCAAAACTGTACTTAAGTCCTAGATTTCTAGTCCCAGACATGTATCTCAAAGTATATTTCATAGCAGTCCAATGTCTTTCCCTAGGGTCAGACATAAACCTGCTAAGAACACTTACAGCAAAAGCCAAGTCAGGTCTAGTACAAAGCATAGCATACATCAGAGTTCGAGAAGCAACATCATAAGGCACATTTTCCATTTTCTTAGATTCTTCCAAAGATACAGGATAAGGATCTCTATGTAATTCTAAATGCCCTCCTAAAGGAATAGGTGTCATTTTAGAATTAGACATATTAAACTTATCTAATATCTTAGAAAGATAATCACATTGAGATAAAAACATGCTTCTTTCAGATCTTTTCCTTAATGTATCAATTCCTAATATTCTTTTAGGAGTGCCAATATCCTTCATGTTAAAATGCAACTTAAGATCATTTTTCACACTTAAAATCAGCATTTTACAAGAACCAATAAGAAGGATATCATCAACATATAGTAGAACATACAAGGCATTTTCAGTACCCACATGCTTAAAGTACAGACATGTATCATATTTGCTTCTAAGAAATCCCAATTCATTCATACAGGCATTAAATTTCAAGTTTCACTGTCTTGGAGACTGTTTTAATCCATAAAATGATTTCTTAAGCAAGCA